TAAGAATGTCTTGATTTCACCTTGTTCCGGAAGAGTATTTTTTCTGGGTATAGAATTCTGGGTGGACAGCTCTTTTCTTTTAGCACTTAAAAAATGTTATCAGTTCTTTCTAGCATTCGAAGGAGAAGGGCGCAGTCGTTTGAATCATTGTTCCTCTATAGGTAACATGTCATTCTTCAGTATCTAGCAAAATTTTTTCTTTGTCGTAATTTTTTCTAAAAATTATTAGTATTGATTACAATACATCTTGGCATAGATTTCTTTGATTTTATTCTGGTTGGAGCTCACTGAGTTTCTTGAATCTATAGGCTTAGTTCTTTCACCAAATTTGGAAAGATTTCAGCCATCAATTTTCTTTTTTAATTAGCATACAATAGTTGTACAGGGGTACATTGTGACATTTATCTAAGTGCTTACAATGTACCTTAATTAGATTCACCCCCTCCATCTTTGTCTTTTAGCCCTCCTCCACCTTTCTTAGAACAACTTCGACAGATTTCATTGTTTTGTTTTCATACACGAATACAAAACACTTCCACTATATTTGAGCCATTATTTTTCTAATATATGTTCAGTCCCACACTCTCTTTCCTGTCTTTCTGGACCTACAATGACACAGTGTTAGAGCTGGATTCTGAGGTCCAACTTATTTTTTAGGTCAAATTTCTCTCCGTGTTGTTCACATTATTGCTACTTTGTTTTCAAATTTCCTGTCTTAACTCACATAGTTCTTGAGCCCACCCAGGAAGGTTTAAAACTTTTTTCAGGTCTAAAATTTCCATTTAGTTCTTCTTTACATCTTCTATTTCTTTGCTGAGACTTTGTTATCTTTTCATTTTTACAAGTATATTTGTTCATGGAAGCATTTTTACAGTGGCTTCTTTTAATTCCAGCATCTGTGTTATTTCAGTAGTTGTCTCTGTTGACTGCCTTCGTAAGTTTAAATTGAGATTTTCCTGTTCTCATATGTGAGTGATTTTTTGATTATATGCTGGATATTTGGGGTATTATGTTGTAAAGACTCTGAATCATATTCTCTGTCTCTCTCTCTGTCTCTCTCTGTCTTTGTCTCTGTCTCTCTCTGTGTCTTTCTGTGGGTGTCTCTCTCTCTCTCTCTCTCTCTCTCTCTCTCTTTCTCTCTCTCTCTTTCTCTCTCTCTCTCATGAAGTTGCCCTATGTAGATGCAGCTTCTGGGAGGGGTAGATGTTCTATTCCAGACTGGGTCCTACTCACACCTCCTCCCTGCTGGGTGGATGGAGACCCAGCTTCCTGCTGGGCTCTGCTGAGGTACTGAGTGACAGACAGATGTGGATTAGTTGCCTCTCTGTTGCCTCCTTCCACTCGTTATTTCTTGTGGAATTTTAGTTGGAAATATACTGAATCTATAGATCAATTTGGGAAGAATTGACTTCTTAATAATACTAAGTTTTATATCTCATGAACAAAGATTTGGCCATTGATTTAGGTCTTCTTTAATTCCTCTCAGTAATGTTTTATAGTTTTTAGTGTCTGGTTCTCACACATTTTGTCAGCTTTGTCCCTAAGAGTTTCATAGTTTGTGCTACTATAAATGATATTTTAAATTTTAAATTGCTTTTTGCACAGAAACACAGTAGACTTTTCATATATTGATCTTACATCTTACAACCTTGTTAGACTCCATTATTAGTCCCAAGGGCTTTTTTGCAAATTCCATCTGACTAGACAATCAGATGGATTTTCTCAAACATAGATATATAGAAATAAATATTGACTATACATTTCTCCTAAATGCCCTTTTAAGGTAGTTCCTTTCTATTGTTAATTTGCTGTTTTTGTTTTTAATCAGGATTGAGTCTTGGATTTGTTAAATGCTTTTTCTCTATTTGTTGGTATAATGGAATTTTTTAGTGTGTCACTAAGTGAATTACAGGTTTTTTTTCTTTTCTTCGAGGGAGTAGGGGATTGAACTCGGGACCCCAAGCTTGCTAGGGAGGTGCTTTACCACTTGAGTCATGCCTGCAATGCAGTGTTTTTGAATGTTAAAACAGCTATGTATTCTTGGGGAAAACCTAGTTGTGATTTGTTATCAATTTTACATATTATTGGATTTTATTTGTATAATTTTTGCATTTGTGTTTATGAGAGGAATTAGTCCTTAGTTTTCTTGTAACATCTCTGGTTTTGGTATTTGAGTAAATTAACCTGAAAGAATCATTTGGGGACTATTTCTTTCTCTTCAGTTGTCTGGGAGTATTTCTTGTAGGATAGGCATTATTCTTAAAGTTATCTAGGCCTGGAGTTTTCTTCGTGGTAAGCTTTTTAGCTACAAATTCAATTACTTTGATAGACGTAAGGACAGTCTGGTTATGTATTCATCTTGCACGAATTTTGTTAATTTTTATCTTTTAAGGAATTTGTCCATTTGTATCTGAGTCCAATTCATCATTATAAACTTGTTCATAAAATTCCCTTTTTTTTTTATTTTGGAATATTTTAGAATTAGAGAAAAGTTTTGAAGATGGTACAGAGTTCCTGTGTACCTTTCACCCAGTTTCCATTTCCCCTGATGCTTTCATCTGACATTTCAGTGATACAGAAACTCCAGCCTTCACTCAAACCTTCATTGGGTTTTCCATAAAACCAGTAGCTAATCTGGCACATCACATTGCATTTCGTTGTCATGTCTAATCGTTCTCTGGTCATGACAGTTTCTGAAGCTTTCATTCGTTTTCATGACCTTAACATATTTGAGGAAAATTAGTCAGATATCTTAAAGAATGTCCCTCAACTTGGGCTTGTCTGATGTTTGTTTCATGGTTCAACTGAATCATAGGTTTTTAAAAATAGTACAGAGTGCAATGTCCCTCTCGTCACATCATATCCCAGAGTACACAAGATCCAGATGACAGTCCTGTAACATTAAACTTGATCATTTGGTTAGAGTATTTGCCAAGTTTCTCCAATGTAAAGTTAACTGTTTTTCCCTTTCTACATTCTTTGGAAGCCAGACTCTAAATCCAGCCCACTCTCAAGGAGGAGGGGGTAGTAAGGAAAATATCTACATATTTTGTTTGGACTTCTTCTGTAAAGATCTGTTTCTGGAACTGGAGTGTGGCTTCGTGGTAGCACTTTTGCCTAGCATGGATGAAGCCCTAGGGTCAATCCCAGCACCATGAAGCAAGAAAAGATTTATTTCTCCTCCACCATTTGGTTATTTATTCAATTATTTATTTATATCAACGGGGTGCCTATGTATTTATTTCATACTTTGGATTGTGATCTAATAATATGCTGTTTGGATTTTGCTTAGTGATTCCAGCTTTGGTCATCAGGGAGCACTTTCAGGTTCACTCTGATGTTCTTTGAACATCGCCTTGTACTTTCCTTGACCAAGCAATAAAATCAGCCATTGCCTATTGAAGAATGGTACTTTGAAACCAAAATTTGGGCAAAAGTTGTGCCCATATGCATAGTTACATCTCTACCTGTGTTAGGTGAAGCTAAGCAAGAGTTCATACTGGTGTGTCTGACTCTAACTGAGTGCCACAGGGTTCATTCCACCTTTCTCTTCTTGCTTGTGCGTAACTTCTCTTTCTCTTAGCGAGAATCTGGACTCCCAAAGTCTACCATACATTTACTTGTCCAACCCCGTGTAATACATGTAAGGCAGTTTCAGAATGGTTAATCTATACACCAGAAGAAGCAAACTTATCAGCTAGTGTTTACATGAAGTATGTGGATCTTTTTTGACACGAAGAAATTTGATATAGCTAAATATTAATCGATACTAAGGAATTTTGTTAATTTTGTTAGGTGTGATAAGAGCCTTATATAATAAAATGTGCATAATTTTTCCAGAGATGCTTACTGAGATATGTAAGGGTGAAATGGCATGATATGAATTTTCTTGAAAATACTTCAAAAGAAGACAAGAAATAGAGGGGGATGGATAGCTAGAGCACTGTGAAAAATATTGATACTTGCAGAAACTGAGTGATGATTCTGAAATTACAAGAATTCATTATGTTTTTCCCTCCACTTTTGAGTATGTTTGAAATTCTTCATTATACAGAATTTTATTTATTTGAACATTTTTTGGGGGGAGGTAATGCTTGAGCCACACCTCTGCACCCTTTTGCCCTGGTTATTTGGGAGATGGGGTCTTGTGAACTATTTTCCCAGGCTGGCCCAAGTTAGGATTACAGGCGTGAGCCACCAGCGCCTGACCTTTGTTTGTTTTTGAGATAGAACCTCACTGTGTAGGCCATATTGGCCTGGAATTTGCTATGTAGCCCAGGCTGGACTCAAACTCATGATCCTCATGCCTCAGCCTCCTGAGTGCTGGGATTACAAGTGTGCTCCACCATGCCTGGCTTTATTTTTTAGTTTTAAATTTATTTTTATCTTTATATTTGTAGAGCTAGTGATCAAATCCTGAGCTTCATATAGGCTAGGCAAATGCTCTAGCATTCTGACCTGCACCTCCAGTCCAAAATGTTATTATTTGAAAGCTCTTGCTATTATTGATAGACAAATTATTTACTTATAATTTCAAAAGGTATCAATGGGTATATGGTAAATAATCTGCCTTTCTTTTTCTTCTGCTCCCAGTAATCAAGTACTCATTTCCAAAGGCTGTTAGTCAGGCAAATATATATTATATTTACAAATATATGCAAATACATTTCACACATACAGTAGTATCACACTTTAGATCCTGTTCTGTACCACTTTTAAACTTTTTTTTTGAGATATGATTTCACTATCTTGCCCAGTCTGGCCTCAAACTGTGATCCTCCTGCCTCAGCCTCCAAAGTGCTAGGATCACAGGCATGTGCCACCATGCCTGGCTAAACCGTTACTTTATCATTTCAAATTAATAGAAGAGGGCTGGGCTAGGGTTCAGGTGGTAGAGTGCCTGCCTAGCAGACAAATGCAAGGCCCTGAGTTCAAACCCTAGTACTGCCAAGAAAAGAAAGGACTGACAGAAGAGTGCAAACATAGAACAAAGAATTTACCTCAATCCATATTTCTCAAATGTTGACATTTGCCATGGTTGCTTTGTGACTCTCTCTTATCGTTGTTCTTCCTGTACCGTTTGAGAATAAGTTGCAAAATCAGTGAGTGCTTCCTATAAACAAGGGCGCTCTCTTATACAAACACATCTCGATGATCAAAGCCAAGAAATGAACATTGGTATTCTAGAAATCTTATTCAAATGTTATCAATTGTCCCACAAATGTCCTTTATAGAAAGAGAAAGAAACATATTTTTTTCTATCCAGTATCAAATATTGCAATTCGTTGTTAAAAACGAAACAAAACAAAAAAAACCCCAAGTTTATAAATTAGAAAGTGAAAGTCCATCATCCCCGATCCTGTTCCCCAAAGACAGACATAGTCAGCAGCCCTTATGTAAATCCTTCCAGTATTTCTTTCTTTCTTTCTTTTTTTTTTTTTTGGCAGTGCTGGGGTTTGAACTCAGGGCCTCACGCTTGCCAAGCAGATGCTCTATCACTTGAGACAGAGTCTCTCAAACTATTTATCTGGGCTAGCTTCAAACCATTATCCTCCTGATCTCTGCCTCCTGAATAGCTAGGATTACAGGTGTGAGCCACCAGCACCTGGCTTGTTTTAGTTATTTCTCATATTTATGTAAGATCTTACATGTATGCCCAGGTCAGTCTGAACTGTAATCCTTTAGCTGGGATGACAGGCATGAAGCATGGTGTCTAGCTTTTTATTGGTTGAGATGGGGTCTTGCTAACTTTTTGCCTGGGCTGGCCTCAAACAGTGATCCTCCTGATCTCTGCCTCCTGAGTAGTTAAGATTACAGGTGTTCGCCACTACACTTGACCTTGATTCTAAACATTTTGTAAATATATCTTGAATCCATTTTCTTTGTCCTGCTTTATTCCTTGCTTTGATTACTCTAAATACCTTCTAATTGCTCTCTGGCTCTAGATTTGCCCAGCCCTATTCCATCTTACTGATACTGGATTGTTGATCCCAAGTTTGAGTCCTGACGTAGTTGGTGATTGAAGACACCTGACCAGGAGTTAAGAGTAAAGCAAGCACAAAGTTTATTGAAAGGACAGCAAAGCACTCTGTCGGGTGGGACTTAGTGAAAGAGCTAAGACAAACAGTGGCTGAAATCGAGGAGATGATATAGGGCACAAACTGGCTTAGATCCAATTGTTCTACCTTGAAACTCTGTGATTGGTTGGCACTGAGTCAGCTTCTCACTGAATGCAGCCACCTGTCCATTCCTCTCCTTATCGAATTGAGCATTCCAAGAAGGCCTGGTCAGCTCGTTTTGGCCTTGGGAGTCTGCCCAACTAGTCCTGGCCTTGGAGCCACTACCCACTTTGTGCAGCTGCATCTTGTTACTTTGGTGAGAGGCTTGTTATTTCTCTGAGAAGCCTGTTGTTTCCCATGCCTTTTTTACATGTCTACTTCTAAAGTGCCTCTCTCATCCCAAATGGAGTCACCTCTGTCACTGCTCTTTGCTATTGCTGTTAAATTCAACCACTGTTCTGCTTTAAACTGCCCAACACTTTAAAGACAATTCACAGAGAATGGCATGAAACTCTTCGTAATCTGTGTTTCTTTTTGCATCTCATCATTTGGATTCAAATGATATGCTCTCATCTGCGTGCCTTTGTGCCAGTGGTTTCCTTTGGTAGGATATTCCAGTAGCTTATTAACTTCTGTTCAACCTTCCAGATGCAGAAACCACTTTCTCTAAATGCCTACTCTGAGCTGCCCAACTGAGGGGGCTCCCAGAGCAGCCCTTGCATCACCCCCTCAGCTCTGGTCTCCCATTATAGTAGTTCACATGAGGCCCCTCTAACCACACTGGGACTGTGTCTTTATTTTGAGATTGACAGGGCTCTATGTAATGGCATTTCATGACTGTTGATTCCATTAGGAAAGGAAATTGCCAAGGAAAGTATAACCCCCTTCCAGACCACTTTAGTATGCCCAAATGGGAATGCATCTCAAAGAGAAAAGAGAAATTTAAGGTCAAATGAAGAAGACTGATGGTTATATAAAAAATTCCTGCCACTAGATGCCATAAGCCAAGGACCCATCCAGCAATTAAATCATTCAGTCAATAAGTATTTCCTAGCAAATGCCATGGGCCACGCACTGTTCTGTCTACTAAGGACACAGCAAGGGAGAAGACAAAGTCCTGGCATGTGTGAAGTTTACTTTTTCCTGGGTTCTAGTGGGGCAATTTGGTCTAAGCTCCTGCCATATCCAAGATGCAGAACGAGGTGGGGCACCTTGTTCACATAGACAAGGAGAGCTGGAGGCTTGGCTCAAGCAGTAGAACATCTACCTAGCAAGGGTAAGCACCGCCAAAGACAAATACTGTCTGTCCCCTCAAAAAGCCTATGACCTTATGGGGAATTCAAATGCATGTACAATTGCACACATTGCAAAGCAGAACATGTGGCACCTTCAGAAATATTAATTCACCCACTTGATAAATATTATTGAGCTTCTAGATTACAGACTAACTACACATGGCAGCAGATATGATGTTTGCCTTCAAGGCACTTCCAGTACGGTAGGGAAGAAAGAGTTTTTGTTTGTTTGTTTTTGTTTTTAAATCTCACAAATAAATATATGACCATTAAGTACTGTTATAAAAAACAAAACACCAGGAACTATGAAAGCAGATAATTTGGGAAGGCATCCCTGAGGAAGTACAGAAAGCTGTTGAGAACAGAGACAATTCAAGAAATTTGGGGTTCATTTGGGCAGGTATCCTAGAAGAACAAGTAGTTGTTTTGTAGGATTTTTTGGGGGGGTGGGAATGGGGTTTGAACTCAGGGCTTCAAGCTTGCAGAGCAGGCATTCTTCCACTTGAGCCACTTCTCCAGTCCAGTTTGTTCTGGGTATTTCGGAGGTAGGGTCTCTAGAACTATTTGCCTGGGCTGACCTCAAACTGAGATCCTCCTGATCTCAGACTCCCAAGTAGCTAGGATTACAGGTGAGTCACCAGCACCTGACTTGGTCTTTTTCTTTTTCTTTTTGTCCTTTTTTTTTTTTTTTTTTTTTGAGACAGTCTCCATATGTAGCCCAGGCTGCCTTCAACCAAACTTGAGGTCCTCCCATCTCAGGCTCCTGAGTGCCAGGATTACAGGCATGTACCACACACCAGGCTAGGAAGGGGTATTTGAATGAACCTTAAACGATATGGAAACTGTACCTGCAGAGGTGGGAGGAGGGGCATTCCAAGCAGAAGAAATGCATCAATAGAGGCATTAATATGGGAAGATATAGGGTGGTCAGTGTGGCTGAAGGAAATCAAGACTGGGATATCAAGAGGAATGGTGGGGAAAAGACAATGTTACCGGACAAAACTGGATGGAGGATTGAAGCCTCTGTACAGTGTAGACTTGATTTTCTAAGCTAGTGGAAGGGCCATTTGTTCAAATCCTAAGAATTCTTGGAATTTTGTGGGCAAAATGAAGATTGTCCATTGCAGAAAGTTGCCACCAGAGGGTACCATAGGAGAAGGTCTACCTGACAAGTTATGGAACACTTTTCCCTCAGCTTGGTCTGGTTTTTGTTTTGTTTTAATTAAACTTATTTTTATTTGCTCCATAAAATTATAAAGATTTCTGGGCATGGCGGTTCATGCCTATAATCCCAGTTACTCAGGAGGCAGAAATTAGAAAGATTTAGTTTCAGGCCAGCCTAGGCAAAAAGTTAGCAAGATCCCATCTCAACTAACGACTTGGACGTGCTGGAACACTTCTGTATCCCCAGCTATATGGGAGGCATAGGTAGGAAGACTGCAGTCTGAGGTAGACCCTGGGCTACATAAGAACACAAGATCCTATCCAAAAAAATAACTAAAGCAAAAATGGGTTACAGTTATGACCCAAGTGGTAGAGTACCTGCCTAGCAAGCATGAGGCCCCGAGTTCAAACACCAGTACTGCAAAAAAAAGTGTTATCTATTAATAGTACCATTCGATTTTTAAATCAGATTGAACAGATCTGTCTCCTCAAACCCTCAAACATTTATCCTTCTTTATTACGAAAATAATATCAGAACCTCGTGCTTGCTAGGTGGGCACCCTATCACTTTGAGCCACGTCCCCAGCCCTTTATTAGGAAAACTTTTAAAATCCTTTCATCTTTTCATTTAAAGAAGCCCCCACCCACCCCATCCCTGGCTCCACAAGCAGGGGCGGGAGGGGAAGGGAAGGGTGGGGTCCAAATAATGTATACACATGTAAGTAAATATAAAAACGATACAATAAAATAAATCATCTTGTCATTTTATTCATTTTAGCATTTTGAAATATACATATTATTATCGGTAGTCACCTTGGAGTAAGTACACCAGTGCACCAGAAATTCGGGGATGGGGGTGAGATAGGACTGGGTTTTTAATTTTTCTTTCCCTTTTTTCTCCACCTGTGTTCCTGTGAGCTGGTGTTTGAGGGTAGAACTGGCGAATGGGCCGCGGCATGGAAGACATGATACCCAGGGGGCTGGAGCCCTTTCTTCTGCCTCCGTACATAATGGGAAGCATGACCAGACGCCAGGCCCTGGTCAAGAAAAGGAGGGTGGCATGTTTATTGCAGCACTATTCACAAGAGCCAAACTTTGGAATCAGTCCAGATGCCCCACGACTGATGGATGGATTAAGAAAATGTGGTATATCTACACAATGGAGTTTTATTCAGCCATAAAGAAGAATGATATGATGTTGCATGCAGATAAATGGATGGAACTGGAGAATGTCATGTTAAGCAAAGTAAGCTAGGCTCAAAAAGTCAAAGGTTGCATGTTTTCCTCATACATGGAAGCTAGACCTATAAGTTAAATGTGTATATATAGATACATTTATGATCATATATAAACATACACATATAATATATAGTGAGAGAGAGAGAGAGAACAAGATTGTATTAGTCTGTCTGAGGAGACTACAGAAGGCAGGAAAGGGAAAGAAAATGTTAGAGAATGAAAACTATTGATACAACCCATCTCTGTATGAATACAATATAATGCACTGTAGTGTAAGCTGTTGAATATTAGGGGAGCATGGTGATAGAG